TATTTGTTTGTTGGAATTCTTTTAGAATGTGTAATCGATTATTAATCTAACATTTTGCAGCTTCTGTATATTTTGTGCATGTTTATCGTTTTTTTTTATGCACAAGAAAAATTGGAGTTGAACGACTTTTTTAGTAAAGACGTGTACCAATCTCATCTGGTCTTATTCGACATATGCTATACATACAGTATATACACAATAATCTAAATTATGGCTGATTTTGAGTACAAGAACATGACATTTTGTAGTGCATTAAGCTTAAATTTCGACCACGACTCTTCGTGGCAATTCTTATGCTCCAATTAAACCTCTAACGGTGAATACACCATATCCTTCCTTCCCGCAATGTTCAGCGCGCACCCCAAAAGTAAACCGGAGGACCATCCCGCCGCTGACCATGCTTCCCTTGATACCCCTTGTGCGGAAGGAAGGTTGGGAAAAACCAACTTCATCCACTACCTATCCCAACCTTCCCGGTCAACGAAGCTGTTCAAAAGAGGTGAAGTCATTAACTCACGAATCCACCACACCGCCATTTTCGTTGGTTCCAATGTCTTTATGATTGGTGGACAAAGTTCCTTGGATAATTCTACCGCTTCTTTACAAACAACCTTGCTTGTTATGGACTCTTCAATGTTGGTCGTAAATGAACAAAAATCGACAAAAGTTTCCGTGGCTGGTCACGGAGCTGTTCCAATAAGTGACTCAAAAGCTCTGATATTGTTCGGCGAGAAGTCAATAGCGCCCTTTATGTTGGCGGATCCTGTCCAACAAATTGATGTTCAAACGGGTGACATAAGCAGTTTCAACATCAAAGGTACGGCTCCCTCGGCTCGGTATGCTCACACTGTCGCCCTAGTCGATAATAAGGTCTACATAATAGGCGGAACTAATGCAACTAATGTATTTGGAGATATTTCATATATAGACCTTTCGTCAAATAGTTGGAACATGATTAACATCCCTCGGCAAGCCATTGCTGGACATTCAACAGCTGTGGTTGGCAAATACCTTGTAACATGTTTTGGTTTTGACAATAAGTTTCAACTTCAAAATGGTTGTAATGTTTTTGATACCATCAATAATGTTTATGTTAATTCCCGAATCTCCGGAAACCCTCCTACACCACGCTCTTACTCATCCATGGTCACCAACGATAACGGTGATAAAGTAGTATACATATTTGGTGGTCTCGATAAATCTTCTCGAGGGTTTAATGACCTTTACACTCTGAATGCAACGAATTTACCAAATTTGACCTGGTCACCTGTGTCCTTAAGTGCAAAATCGAATCAGGGTCTAATACCGTCACCTCGAGGTGCTCACAGCGCAGTGATGCGGTCTGGTATAATGATT